ATTTTGTTTTAATGTATGGGTTTCAAATTTAATACTTGGTGATCTTATGCACGGTGCAAGATGAAGCAGAATCACTGAGCAGAAGCTCCAGTGCACTCGGTGGATGAAGGGATGTTTTTTTTTTTAAATGGTTTTACTTCTGGCTTTTTTTCAGTGTGACTGACCTTTGGTGTGTCAGATTGTAAGTGTTGAAAGCACCTTTTATTAGAGAGGTACAAAACCTTTGAAATAATAAAACGTGAAAACAGTTTTCTTTCAAATATTCTTTATTGCTCAGATCCAGGTTGCTCAGCAATACAGTTCACTCACAACTCAAAACAACAGCATGGCTGTTACCAGAAAGGCACGGATCCACGTGATGTAGTAACAATGGATCGTATGTCTGTCCAGTGCACAGTCACCAATTACCTTGAGGTGTTTTTGGGACCTTTTGGCCTGTGGGAAATGTAGGACGTGAGGGTTTGTGACCTACTGAGGAAACAAAAGGAATCTCCCAAATGGTGAAGAGCAGTTAAGAGTCGGATCGATGTAAAACCACAAATTGAAGTATAGTGCTATATGACGTGTAGTACATACTGGATCGCCTGCAATAGTCTCATGCAAGTCTTTGCATTTTTCTCAGTTCACAAGTTAGGACGACAAAAAAACAAAACAAAAAAAACACTGCTGTGGTTCTGCACATCTGACCAGACTTGATCCTTCATCACCTGATCCATACTTGTTTTTGTTAATTTGGATGGTGTTGAATATTCAGTCCCATAGGCAGAACAACTTTTACCAGCACTTTTATTTTCAGACCTGGTTATTCTGCCCACACATGTCTACTTTGCATTTTCTTTTTCTTATCCCCCCACATCCCCATCCCAATCTTCAAATCTGTTTAAAATCCTAGCTAGGACACAATTTAACAGCAAGTAGTGATCTAACATGACTGGATATTAAAGAATCCCAGCTACTGCTCCAGACTACATTATTTAATCAGTGTAACTGACAAGAAAACCAGATCAACAGAAAACAAAATAAAGCCTAAGTTATTCAACCGCTGTGCGATATGACTAACAGCACTGTGCGTCCTCAGTGATGCGAGTGTGTTTTTTCCTGATACTGAAATTAATGCCTAGCAACACCCTACTGAACCTAGAAACACCAAAATCCTTGGAAGTAAAAAAGAAAGTTACTATGATGTTTGCAGGTTTTGCCTCAGACTGTGGCTGAGGGGAAACCTGCTCTTCTAGTAAAGAGCCAAAAACACAAGAGAGGCGGAGGCCTGAGGAGTCCTCTGCAATGTGAGAAAAGAACTTCAAATCTGCTCTAGGAAAAAGAAAAGAAAAAAAGAGGAAAAAAAACCCTACTCCTGCCAGTCAGACAAACCGTAAGTGACAAAATTCAATTTTCCAGTGCTACTGCGAACAGACATGCCCTACTAAAGTGAAGCAGCCCACCGCAGGAGTCATGCGCTCCAACAGAAGCACTGTACTGCATTCGTGTGGGTAAGGTCAGGGTAATTGAATCAGGTCTGGTGAGCTAACATCATCAGTATGAGGTACTGTACCGGCTGTGGTGGAGGCGTGCTGAAGCAGCCCCAGGCATTGTGTGAGTTTGATAGACCTTTATGTTTTATTTTGCTAATCTGTGTTCACTGGGACCAAAAAAAAAAAAAAATCCCTAAAATAGTGCCAAAAACAAACTAACTTTTACTACATCATTTATTTATTATATTCCTTTGCCCTACACTGGTTTTAGTAACTGTAACTAAGTCAGCCTTGGATTCAGAGGTAATTCTGAAATGTACAGCACAAAAAAAAAAAAAAAAAAATGTAATAACCGGTAGATCGATGAGAAAACCATTTAGAGGTCAGCTTGAGGGAACCTGTGACGCTCTAAACTTCTCCCACCATTTCTCACAATGCAGGCGCAGACTTGTAGGTGTTATAGAGAGACAGAAAACGATGCATTAATGTGCGACTATTGTACATGTTTACAGATATACAGTTATCCTGTCGTACACAGTGACATTTCAACGACTAGAGTTGTTCTACATTCTACACAGAAGACTAGGGCTTCACACCACGTTCAGGAGTCCTGTCAGTGTATTTTTGCAGCTTTGTGTTTTCATCAAATCAACCCCAGAGGATGCTGTTATCAAATAGAGCTGGTAAAATTGGGTTGTTATAAAAAAACAAAACAAAAGTAATTTTTTTTTATGTTATTTTTTTCCACAAATGAATAAACGTCGTGGTTTGTTGTTAAAAGTCTCAAAAAACCTGGAGGTACGGTTGGGAAAGACAAACAAAAAAAAAA